CAAAGCACGAGCATTTCCTATGTCTCCCACTAGCAAAACGAGGCCGTTGTCTCGGGCGGCCGGGTCGGAAGGGCAATCGAATGGCATGATCGGCAAGCCGATGTTTCTCAGGTGGAGGCATGTTTACGACTAGTTTACGCTTTTCTTTTCTTGTGACTAGGTATCGAAATACGCAGTACTAGGGCGCCGTTTCTTTCCTGCAAAATGTGCAACTTTTACATGATTAGATCGCCCGAAGTTTTTGACAGCCCCTTTTTCAAGTCGGGTTTCGAAGGCCGAGCGCTTTATGCCTTGCAAATTAATTACATAAAAGCGTACGTTATTTACCTAATTTAATCTTGTAATTTTTTCTGTATTGACCAGCTACTGGCTTCTCTGTCCCCTTACACCCGAGCCCCACGCAATGTTTTACTCTTTTTCTGGTACCAGAAGTACTGATTTTTTTGCTTGATTTTTATACGCAACCTGCATTTCTAGTGCTTTTCCCTGACTTGTAAGCTTTTTTTGTCTCTTTCCCTTCCTTTCAAGCTGAAAATCTTTTAACCCCGCTCAAATTTGCATCTTACATCATAAAAAATTCCTCTACCGGACCGGCTACCCAAAACCATTAAAACAAACCTAACACCAATTGTTCAACAGTCTCCTCCACCTTCTCAAGATCTCAAAAATATTTGCACGCGCCAAGGCCGAAGCCAAAACAAAATCGATCCATTGTGTTCCGGGCGCAGCGGCCAACCAGCCGTGTCTAGTCCTCCGCACGTGTTTTCTCAAGGGCGAGAGAGAGGTGGAGAGGGAGGTATAGATAGATTGATGCACCCGCTGCATGAAAATGTAGAGCGAGAGAGAGCGAGAGAGCTAGAGAATGAGTGAGAGAGACAGATAGAGAGCAAATCGTACCCTTTTTCCGGCTTGTCAACGACACCGCGTGTGTGGTAGCGGCCTTTACGCACCAGCTGGTGGCCTCGGGGGTGATATCAGTCGTTCCGGGGAGCAGGAATAGTGCTGGCAAGGAATAATGCTAGGCTAGAGAACGTTTTTCGCTCAGGATCATACCTTTTTCATCTCATTTCGAAACTTTTAACGTATTGGATTTTTTCTGATTCATAAATCCCGTCTTTTTGACTGGCGTTGGCGATCTACCTACTTTTCAGATACCTATTAAAGATCCTCAAAAAATGTGCTTTAAATGGTTCCATTTAGACCATTTCACTAAGGTTTTTTTGCGGATTTTTGTAGACATTTTCAAAATTAATTCAAGCCGACTTTTAAAAGGCCATTACCTAATTTAAAGATACACTAATATTGCTAACCGACTTCTTCTATTTATTAAATCACTTTTTATTAAACAAACTACCCAGCAAGGCTACAGTCTCTAGCCCGATCATATCGGCTTATCACTGAACCACAGCCGTCACCAGCCGTCCCAGCGTTTTTCCGCTTTTTCGGGTTTCGAGATTTCAGTCGCGTGATTTTATTTTGACCCCGGGTTGAACTTACTGCTTTCAGAACCAAATGAGCCTAGAAAATTAGCTACTTTACAGCTGTTGTTAATATTTCAATCTAATCTAATTTCGAAAATTTAATCGATGATTTTTGCAGATCGCGTTCTTATATACCTTTTTTTTCTGGTGATTTTGCTCCTAAAAATGCCATTTTTTTTTCCAGATGGCCGATCGAATATGGGAATCGTACCTGATTTCCGACTGCATAGTCCCAAAAGAGCAGATGAAGCGGCTGGGAGAGCATAAATATTCGGCAGTTGACACCTCATGGCTTGATGAATTGTGTATGAAAAAGTGAGTTTTGCACCTACATTTATCGCGTATTTGAGCCACTTCGAGCTTGGCAAATCCTATAAAAAATAAATTCAGCGTTAAAGAGCTTTGTTCCTTTTAAAATAAGCTTTTCAGATTCTGGGACAAAGTCGTCACATTCTGCCCGATGTGGGTGGCCCCAAATTTAATCACGCTCGTCGGGTTGATCATCAATTTATGTACAGTACTCGTTTTGTCTTTCTACTGCCCAACGGCGACGGAGTCGGTGGGTTTTGGATCTCTCTCGCGCTCTCTCGCTTCCCTCACCATCGCTCTCTATCTTCCCCCTCTCTCTCTCCCTCTCTCTCTAGCTTTCCCATGCTCTCTCTCCCACTAAATAACCATATTTCTAGGCCCCATCCTGGGTGTACTTCCAAGCCGCCCTCGGGTTGTTTTTGTATCAGGTTGGTACATACTTTAATTTCCTGGGTCGGACATGCGCTTTTTGACAGGCTTCTGGAAGCGGAAGTTGCCTAATTTCGACCTTTTTCTAACGGCTACATTTGCAGACCCTCGACGCCATCGACGGGAAACAGGCGAGAAGAACGGGTAGTTCGTCTCCTCTTGGCGAACTTTTCGACCACGGGTGCGATTCAGCATCTCAGGGTACGTTTTTGAAGGTCGAGGCCACAAAAATGCTGCTTTATAGTGTTTGTGACGCTCAACATTTGCTACGCGATGACGCTGGGTGCCGTCCCGAATGGTGTCTTTGCCATTTCGGTGGTCTCGATCATCATGTTCTACGCGGCGCACTGGAGCACTTATTGTACAGGGCAGCTTCGCTTTTCAAAGTCAGTAGTGTCGGTCTTGACGCCCCCGCTTTCCTTCCTGTCGCCATCCCTTGAGACCCACCGTTCTGGAAATCAGCGAGCAAATTTAATTTTGTAGATTCGACGTCACCGAAGCCCAATGGATGGTGATCTCGGTCCTCGTCTTTACTGGGATTTTTGGAGCCGGAACCTGGTCTGCGAATATTGTAAGCTTACTTTGCGCTTTATCGTGTTTTTCTAGATCTTCGGACTGCAACTCCGTTACCTTGTCGTTGGCGGCTCCTTGATAATGTCAATCGTACAAATCGGAGGCTATGCCAAGACGATTCTTGGTGGAGGTGTTGGGAAGAATGGGAGTACGGTTGCGGTGAGTTTTGAAGAAATTCGGAGGACAGATTGATTCCTCGATAGATTCCTCGAAAACGAAGCAGATAATCTAGATTGTTAGTAATAGTGTAAGTCTTCAAGAGATGAATGTTCTGAACAACGACCCGTTTTGAAAGCGATGCGCCTGTTTTTAGGGAACCTCCGTCCTTTTCCCACTTCTGCCACTTCTGATGGTGCTACTGCCATTTGCTATGATTTACAGGTTAACATAAGTCGAAGTTTTCCAATTTTTTTATTTTTTTCAGCAAAGCCACCACTTCCGTCTACGATGTGCATGTGACGCTGTTTATTTTGTGCTTTGGAGCTGTTGGTAAGTTCTGCACGTTAAGCGAGAGATAGAGAGAGAGAGGGAGAACAAGAGATTAGCAACAGCTGGTTTTTTAGGTTCCAAAACCACAAACCGGCTCGTCATCGCCCACATGTCAAAAAGCGAACTTCCGCTCTGGGATTGGGCATATTTGGCACCAATCGCCATGATTCTGAACCAGTATTATGACTGCCCGATCAACGAGTATCATCTGCTCGTTGTGGCTACGGTAAGCTACATTTTTGAAATTTTGGCAAAGACTGAACTTTGGAATTGGATGCGACTTGATGGCTCATAATAAGTTTGCTTTGAATTTAATTATGCAAAAATAAGCCTAAGCCATTATTGAGTTCTGGTAGTAATAGAGTTGCTGTTTGCAATTGTTATCCTGAGGATGATCACCATCATCTTCATCTTCATCTTCATCACCATCATGCTCGCAACTTTCCACAACCATCAAAATATTTTTCCTAGTAAATCCACAACTTTCTCCCCGTAGCGCTTACCCTCATTAGAATATACGCGGAACACGGAAAACACCGAATACGCATTGACTTCTTCTCTAGGCACCAGAACTTGTTTTTGGTGGGCCCACGAGGGGGCGCAATTTGTTGTTTCGTTTGGGCACAGTGTTTGATCTCCCAGTTCTAACCATTTTTTTCAAAGATGATTGAGGAACTGATAAATTGAATCAGATTTTTTTGTCCATGGGGTTGTAGTCCACCACAAGTTCATCAAGTCCACAAGAAAATGTAATAAATTCTCCGCTAGACCCTATCAATTTTTAAATTGTTCCAATTAACCTTTTTTAATTTATTTTTTAGATCTACGTCCACATCTCGTTGGCCATCTTCTGTACATATGTGACGCGGCAATTTTGCCATCATTTGAACATCTATTGCTTCAAGCTGGGCCCGAGGGCATCTACCGGCAGAAAGCAGCAATGACTAGAAGTGGGTCCGCTTCAAGAATTATGAAAAAGTGATAAGTAAGCTTAAGCCTAAGCCTAGGCCAAGGCCTCAGCCTAAGCCTAATAGGCCAGGCCAAACCGATGCCTAAACCTAAGCTAAGTCTAAGCTCAAGCTAAGTTAAGCTTAAGCCTACGCTTGAGCTCAAGCCACCGCCTAAGCCTGAGCCTGAGCCCAGGCGTTAACATAAACACGAGTATCCTGCTTTATAAAACCTAAATATAATCCTATCTGTGAGCTGTGATTTTGAGATTTTCATAATTTACAGGTTTTTGCTCGTCTTAGAAAATATTTACCTATAAAAAATTCTACGCTACACTCCTCATTACAAAACAACTTCCCGTCATTTTATTATCACTCATTAGACCTCAAACTCCTCAAAGGTCCGCATCCAGCCAGGCCACCTTCCCACTTCCCCCCTTGCTACTCTAGCATTTTCTCCACCTGCCCAGATCGGCCCAAAAATAAATTTGTCGTCTGTGATGCGGATCATCCCGGGAATGGCAAGGCAAAGCCAATCACCCCTAATGTCACGGGGGCACAGGTGAAAATACTAGGGGAAGCCGGCGGGCTCAAATTGGATGTGGCGAAGGCTGCATTTCTAACGCAAAAGCTAGGAGTACTAGGAAAATAATAATGAGCTTTTGAATCGTAAATCGAGGTTCAACGCGTTTTAAAAAATACGAAGTAACCATGAAGCTTTGTAGTTTATGTGTTTTTGAAAAATATCGTACTGTGAGGAAGTCAAATCACGAGTACCTGATTTATTTATTTCGCATTATCGGGGGGGATACACTTTTTTCTAAGAACCTAATTTTTCCAATATAAACATGGAACTGTTCCTGACATGTTTTTGACTACCTTTAAAACGCCAAATTTTACAAGACTTGGATTAAAAATAGCTCAAGGGCCCCAAATTTTTCGATATTGTGGTATTTTAAAGAGTTTTTGAAGCTGTTCGATAGCTCGTCGTTAGCGACTACAAGTTTTAATTCGAGTAAGCGAGTAGGTCACGTAAACTCTATCTCTTTTCCAGGTAGTAGAGGAAGCCACCGAATCATCTGAAGCGGAGGAAGTAGTCGATGACGAAGCTCCCCTAGTCACCATCGTCCCCGCTGTTGATTCCAAGCTCATAGAAATTGTGTAGTTGTTTTTTAGCTCTTTTGTAATCTTTCTAATTTCGATTTTTACTGGTATCGAGCCGTTTTTTTTCGCTTCCCCGTCCCCTACGCCACGCAGGGTCCAAAATGATAGTGATTTTGTGATTTTTTTTTAGAAATTTGCCTTACATCGGACAATTGTACCCTATTCTCGCTTGGCGATTTTTCGATGTTTTTTCGATATTTGATTATGGGTGCCTGTAAATAATAAAATTCTATGTAAAAATGGAAGACAACGAAGCATCTTCTAAACTACGACTCACCTAAAAAGGACAAATCTTTTCCCGCAGAGAATCACAGAAGCCAAAAACCATAATTTCGCTATTCGTCACACAATTTTTTTGAATAATTGCTACAGTAGAAATCCATGTGAAAAACCGTCAATTAAAGCAAAATACACAAATCGAAGGACCTTGAGGTTTGTAGCGCTAATTGTAATTTTTTTTACCTGAAATTTTGCACCTCTCGGGGGGACGATGTCCCGCCTTGTGCTCTCCCATACATCATTAGTTGGGTTGCTGTGTTTTCCGCTCATCGCAAAAAAAAATTTGCAAAACGACAGTTTCAGAGTACAGAGTCTGAATCGGAAGGGAGCCGAAATTTGAATTTGAAACGCGTAAATCCAGAAATATGGCTCAGTTTTTCGCTAAAATTGAGCTGACGCGGCAAAAACTAAAGCTTCTGAGCCAGGTGTAGCCGGCTTAGGGTAGTGTAACTGCTTAAAATAAACCATGCAAATCGTAGACCATTAATAATTATAGAACTTTTTGAGTTGGGAGAATTAGCGGATTTGCTTCCACGCCCCTGTAAACTGCAGCACCTCGCAAGGAGGTGCTCCCAAAAATTAGCCAGGGCCATACCAATGCCACGGCACCCCGACCGCATCCCATCTGCCAATAGGAGGTGATCGGTAGGAAGTTTTGTTAGTTCATACAAAAATTTCACTGATGCTTCATATGGAAATGGGAGTGGACCAGGTTGGGCGCGGTGCGGGGCAGGGCCCCTGGAGATTGGGGTCGCAGATCGATCACAAAATGTCCGATCTGCCTCAAGTTTACGCACTAATGAAAGGTCTATCAAAATTCGTATTTGCAGCTATAGAAACTCGTGTCTGACATGATTTTGGAATCAGTTTTCCATGGGGGCAGCTCATAAAATTGCAAGTTTTTTGGCACCTACCGTAGCCTCATGAGATACCGTACCTGCAAAAATCCGCTATAATGTGTTTGTGTTTTGTGTTAACTTATATTCAAAAACTAAACTTTTAATATAGCAAATTTAACTGCTTGACCGTCAGTTCCAACATTAAAATTTACTAAAAAGTGCGATTTCAGGTCGAATCACGATGGCGGTTCCCCAAAAAGACTCATGAACCCGGAACCTGCTCAGTTCCGCCGTCGTACAGTAGATGAACACTTTTCCCAACAGCTGATTGCTTTTGCTTTTTAAGGCGAAGGAACTTTTATCCAAGAAGCCTGAAAAATAGAGTGCAAGACCCGGGGTGGTGGGCGTGGCTTTCTCATGGGGTGGGGGTGGCCCCTAGATGGGCCCTAGTTGGGCGACTACTTGCCACTACTTCTTCCGGTCCCCCACGACTCCCTCGTCAAGATGAACACCCTGGTATTGTCGACAGTATTCGCTATTTTGTTTGTATCTTTGGTGAGTCTAGAGTTGCTAGAAATGAGCCTTACGGCCCCGGGGAATCTCATACCTAACGTAACCCGTTCGGGACCTTGCTTATGACCGGTGTCAGGTTTTTTGCGGTTTTTAAAAAGATTTTATCTTTTTTTCTTTGAGAGAATTAGTCTGATTTTCTCAAACATTTAAATTTGAGTGGATTTTCGCAAGCTAAATGTAAAAAAGATCCGGAGGCCTTATAGTGAGAAAGTTAAAGAACGCGTGCCTCAAAAAATTCCTTTTTCCATGGTATGAATGACAAGGTTCGAAGTACAAAAAAAAACATAATTCCAGGTAAGCCGGTTAATCCCTTCTTTGTTTAATAATTCCTGTCGCTTTCCCTTTAAAACACGGATATTTATTCTCGTCCCAGAAGCACCACACTTCGAGTACACCCCGAATTATTCAGAGCGATCACTCCAGAGGCGTCCAGGAATTCTGGGAAACAGCGTCTCATCTTGTCTAATTGGACCCGTGAACCAGATGCTAATTATTAATTACCCAAAAATATACCGAGCGGCCAGTTTCTAAGGTCATTCATTAAATTAGGATTCGACTTGGACGTCCACGGAAAAACAAGCAATTAAGTTTCGGAAACATGAATAAAAAATGTTGCGGAGATCTGGGTTCAGAATTTGATTACAATTAATTGTGGAAAATTACAAGAAGGACTTAGGCATCAAGATCATATTTCAATTACACCAATTAAGCGAAAATCAGCATTAAGAACATCAATTTTTCAGGCCACCGCTGACAGCGAAACCTTCGAGGAATTGGTGAGTTTTGCCTCGTTTTTACGACATTAATAATCATCTGCGTTTTCTCTCTCACTCACTTTCTCTCTCTCTCTCTCTCTCTCTCTCTCTCTCTCTTTCACTCTCTCTCTGTCTCTCGATATATCTCTCTCTATCTCTTCTCAAAGCTTTCTGGGATTCTCTAAGGTTTCTGATTCACCCACTAGTGAGTAACTTTTAAATCTATTCAAAAACTTGATCCTTCAAAAATCACAAAATTAATTCTATAAGGTGAATCTTCAAAAAGTAATCCCCTCCCCCGCTCTAATCCCCCATTTTCAGTTTCAACCCGAAATGCCCAGCATGCGAGCCCGGATAGCGTCGAGCAGCCGGTTTTGGGGGAAGCGGTAGGTTTCAAAGTCTAGAATTTTGCATACTCTTGCTGGTACGCTCTCTTTAAACCCAATTTTAAATTGAAATAAAATAAATCAAGAAGGTGGGCTAGCAAAATCTTCCAGGAATTGAGTAAATTTAAATTGGGAGGATTTTTAGTGACACCGCCCGAGCCCGAATCGCCGCATCCCGAATTTTCCGAGGACGACGATCGATGGGAATGGAGGAGGTAATTTTTGTTCATTTTCTAATACAAAACATGGTATGCAAATCAGCTTATCGGGCTTTTCTATCAGGTTGGTAGATAAGTCCTGTCACAATTTTTTAAAATCTCTCTATATAGCCGCAGACATGGCCGATTTTAACGTCTGATGTCTGATTTGATAGGTCTTGGGCTGCTCTATCATGAGAGCTGCCGCACGAGGCCGAAAAGTTACAGGACGCCGAGTTACAGCACCGGGAAGTTTTTCATAAAATCTTGAAAAAGCTTTTTAGCTTGATATCTCTGCATAGAGAAATTTGCATGCGATACCTTTAACACCAATCGATAGCTCTCGAGGAGTAGATATCGATAGATGTTGAGATCGTCAAAATTGGACACATGTTGGCCGAGATACGGGTCCTTGAAATTTGGTTGATTTCTTAGAACTTTTCCCGAAATCCCATACATTTTACGCATCTGTGACAAATTTTGCCAGTTGGTTTTTGAGCGCCCGGAGAAGGTTTTGTCTAAATGTATGGGAATTCGGAAAGAGTTCTAAGAAATGGACCAAATTTGAAGGGCCCGTATCTCGGCCATCCGGTATCCGATTTTGATGATCTCAACATCTATCGATATCTACTCCTCGAGAGCTATCGATTGGCGTTAATGGTATCGTATTCAAATGGCTCTATGCAGAGATAGCACGCTAAATAGCTTTCTCAAGATCTTATCAAAAACTTCCCGGAGCTGTAACTCGACGGCGACCCAGGTTGGGAACCAAATCGGGTTTTGCCCAAGTAGCGCGTCCCAAGATCTATCAAATCATGTATCGAAAGTGAAAATCCGACGTTTCTCCGGCTTTCTAGAGAATTTTGAAAAAATTGTGACAGGACTTATCTACCAACCTGATATACTTCCATGCATCTGAAATTTTGCTTTGATCTGAAATAGCGCCATCACGTTTCCCAAAAAAACGCTATAGTGTAAATGTCAGCCGACTACTCGGTCGACTTCCCAGGGATCCCAAAAGCAAAATTATGCAAATTAAGTGAGCGCGAGGAAAGTGAGCTAGAATTACGAGAGAATGACTTAATTCGCGCCAGGCGGGCGGAGGGAGGAATTAGAATTTTTCGGGGCTTAAGTACGCGACAACATTTTAAAAATAGAAAATAGGAGGAAATATGTTTTTAAAAACTCGAAATTTCGCCTTAAACCTGCCAATTACAGTTAGAAAATTCATAAAAACGCAAATTTTGGGAGTTTGCGGGATATTTACCAAACAAAAAAAGAAAAACGCGAGAAAAGAAAACTTTTTCGAACTTTTCCGGGTCTTTTCGGGTCTTTACTCTTTACTTTTTGAACGTTTCCAATTAAGCAATGACCTCCAACTTTTTCTAGACACCAGAAAGCGACGGGGCTGAGGCCAATTTGGAGCGACAGCAGCAGCAGCTGTCTTCTGCCGAAGTGCGTTCCTGAGTTCGACTCCCCTTCAGTTTTCCGGGCTTGGGCTTCCCCCAATTGCAAACTCTTCCCTTTTCGTCGCTACTGCTGTGCATTGTTGTTAAGAAACAAAATAAATGCTGAAAGGCAAGGAAATTCCAAGAAAATGCAAATGAGCAACTGGATTTTTGTGCATGGTGTGCCGAGTTTTGCTTTGGGAATTTTTGCAGTGATAACAAGAATGCACGGCGGCTTGTGATAATTTGCACTGTCCTGTCTTGGGTCCGTCTGTAAGTCGTTTTTACCTAGAAATCTAGGTTTTGGAAACTTAAAAACGCTTAATTCGTGGAAAACATATGTATATATTTTTTTATATATGAAAGCTTTAGCAATTTTCTATATTTATTTTGACTTTAAGCGAAGAGCATTTGAAAATTGCAAAAAAATAACTTTCAACGGTTCAAAAAGACTAGAAATTACATAGCTATTGTCAGTTTTATAACGGACACGAATTTTGAATTTTAGTAAAATATTGCAGTTTTAAAGTTGTAAAAATTTGAAGAGCGTTGCAAAAAGTTTGCATGTAATTTTGAACGTTTCGAAACTTTGTAGAAAAGTTAACAAAATGCCAATGCTAAAAACTTGATTTTTGCGAAAATTTGGCAAAATTGGCCTGACGCTTGAAACGTTTTTCGATTTTCCGATATTTGATAGTTAACACGTTTTAATTTTCCGGTTTTTCATGGCAGTGTACATGTAGCCAACCTAAAGCCCATATTGAACCTTATGAACAACGTTAGAACATCGTCTCCGCGAATCCCAAAAAAAACCTGCGCCCATTTTCCAGACGACCACACCCCAATAACGTTCTCCCGGGGTTGCATTTTTCCGCTTTTACCGGTAATGACGTTCATCCGGGGGATGTTCAAGAGACTTTCAGACGTCCACTTGATCCGCCAGCGAAACAGAGCAATACGAGACTAACTAAAAACTTTGCAAATTTCCACCTGACCGGATGCGGGGGAAAATTTCGAGCCAAATTGCTTCTGGGAAGGGCATTTTCGAGTTAGTAGGCGTCGCGTGGAATTGAATTTTTAAAGAAGCGCGTGTGAATTTTTAAGGGGATTGTGGGGGCAAATTGTTTCTAGTGGTGAAACTATGGCTGGAAAGGTCAGAAAAAGCTTGGCAGACACGTGGAAAATTTTTTTAAAATAACTGTTGCAGGCTCCGATGTGGTTGGTCCCCTCCTCCGAATACTACGAACGGACGGCCAAAGCGATGAGGCCGAATCTACACATTTCAAGCCGGTTTTGGGGTCGAAAGTAGTGGGTTTTTCTCACATCGAAAATTCCGCAAAAAGTGAGATTGCCTGTAACAATCACTTGAAAGGAACGGGTAAGGTATGCTTCTGGAGCTTTAGGTTATAGATTTCCCATAGACCGGCGGACATTTTAAACCAGGGATAGACTAGACTTTATCTAACTAGACTTTATCTGCCGAAGTAAAGTACTGTAGGTGATTTTTTTCATTTTCTTTTCGGCCTGTTTTGTTGTTTCAGACAAGTTGACGCTCGAACACAATTTGGTATAATCCTTGCTAGGATATATTCAGAATCCCAAAATTATTTTTCATCATGAATTGACGCTGCACTTTTGAGCTGACCACGCTGATGGGTGGGCACAAGATGTTCGGCTGTTCAGAAAAACAATGAACCAGGGGGAATCATGAGATTTTTGTATCGTACGGTATCGCCATTACAATATTTTTCAACTGAAAACAGTTAGTGAAAATTGTCTAGACTGTTTGTTTGCACTTTTAAGATTCGCAAAACCTTTGTAAATATATCTGAACAAATGCTTTTACCTTGATCGCCAGCAAAAATTGTCATTGTTATTTTACATTGTTTTTCAACAAGAAAATTCGACTTCCGCTATCTTCACTTTTGTAACCAAAACACTGAAACGCTTGTTCGGATCTTTTGCATTATTGAGGGGTTTCCTTATGACTCAGCTATGCCCAGTACGGTAACCCAACCCGACAACGGAATCCTAATAGTCTGCTTCTTCAACTCCAGGTGTAAAATTGTTAGAAGTTTTCGCCCCACCCCCCCGATAATGCAAAAGAACGATTGACATAAAACTCGATATGAACGGACCCTGTATAATCCCAATCTCGCATACCCGCACTCCAAAGTCCAAAAGTCAAACTCCGCTAATCCCCACCACGCATTTTCGTACAACCCACCTCCCCAGGGCTTTTCCCGCCGCCTAATACATAAATACATCGGCTAATCGACACCCACATTCAGAGGTTGTGAGGGAGACCCCGACTCTAATTTGCGTAAATATTCAATTTGTGGAAGATTTGTGCGTTCTCAGGAAAGGGGGTGGCCTCGTTAATTTACACCGCCTCCCCCCTCACAAGTGACGAATCGCCACTTCCAAGTACGCGCCAATACTCAGGACACGATTTTTTAGGGTAATTAGCTGGGGAAATCGAAGGAAAGCAAAGTAAAAATGTCGCGCCTGGGGAGTTGGGCCAAAATTGGTTGTTACTCAATGTTTGAACATTCGAAACGAATTGGTGTAGTTTGTTGTCGCTCGGAAAATCTACCGTAGGTTTATCTGTTTTTCAAAGTTTCATTGAACAGATTCCAGCCTGAACCTGTCGGAAAATCGAATATCGCCGCAACCAAATATCGCCATAGAAATTGAATCGAATTTTTCAGGTTTTTAAAAATTTTGAATGGCTTATGCAAATTATCAGTCTTTTTACCATTGAATCAAAAGTGCAGCATTCATTTTGAACATCCGCACGTATTTCTCCAGTTTTCTGTTTTCCGGCATCTTTTTCATAATTTGCATATTTTTTGCCTCAGTTACAAAGTACATTTTGAGATCTGCCAAAAACGCTATAAAAATTGGAGTATTTAAAACTGCAGCACAATTTTTGTCATAGGGCCGCTCGAAAAGATACAAAAATTCGGGAAAAAACTTTTTAATGCCATTACGAACTAGTGTTCCCCGATCTTTCAATCCACTTCCGCAAGCTGCCATGCCCCGTACCTCAAAAACCGATCCCCAAACAATTTCATTATTCGCGTTGGTGTCACTTCCTAAAAGTCGCTATTTTTGCCTTCCTAGCTACCAAATTTGATTCCAATAAGACGCGGGGACCATTGGGGAAAACAAGGAAAAAATTCTCAGGTGACGAATTCCTCAGAAAAACCTCAATAAAACGAGAACTTCCAGGTGCAGACCACATCACTAGACACATCCACCAGCAGCAGCTGTGCAAGTACCAGACGTCATGCCTTCAGTAAAGTCGCTTCATCAAGGAAAGCCATCACGAATGCCAAGTTTATGCCTCGTTTTTATTCGGCCATGTGTTGTGTGTTCCGTTTTCCAATTATGTTCTCTACCGCTAACCCCATAGCCGATGTACATCCTGCTAGTAAAGGGTTTTTATGTTTTTTGGTGGCATTAAACGTTAAGAACATCATAATGCACTTCGGGCCCGAAAATTAGATAATTAAAACTTTGAAAATTACAGAGAAAGCATTATTCTACTAGAAAAAGACACACCACAGCCCAAACTACTGTTCGGAAGGCTTGACTCTTCCGAACTGGAACTGGAACGACTCATAACCGTTCAAGAAAAACGATTCGGCAAGAACTAAATACAGGGTTTGAATCAGCGGAAAATTCTGCCCAAAATGGGTTAATTTTTTAGCGGACTAAGCTATGATTTCCGAAGCAAAAGTGTCATTAAAAGAAAAGCGTAAAGTACCGAACGGCAAACTGGACTGGGAAGAGGATTCTACAACTCGGACCGTTCGGTTTTGGAGAAAGGCGCTCCAAAATTGGATCAAGACGTGCGGGGGATCGCGGTTAAGGGACCTAAAGCTTCTTCATGAAACCGAAACCCCGATTTGCTTCCTGCTCTGTAAAGAAACAACTCAGGGTCAATTATTTTAGAAGATTAAACGCTAAAAAATACTATTACGTTGTTGTCTCCTAATGCTTTCCGCATGAAGGAGCCTTCGGAAACTCTCGCCCTTGAGGAATAATACACTTCACGCGTTTACAGCTACACTATAGCTGTAAACGCCTGAAGTCAGCTATAGAGAGCACAAGGAGGACATCGAATACATGAGAACTAAAAAGATCAGTCGCGGGTCTGTTGTCATTGAGAAGCTGATGTTGTGCGCGTCTAAGCCATGGAGCTCGGCGTCGAGTAGAATGTGGCGTCGTCTTCCTTCAACACCATTTTGCCATCTAAAGTATAGAATCAGTTAGCTGCCCATACAAATTCTCACCTTCGTTCTTTTTTCGCCTCGGCGCCCAACCGCTTCATGATCACATGCTCGATGGGCTTCTTGAATAGCAACAGTCTGAAAACTAACCGTTTAAGCCTTAACCCAGAATTTTCTTACCCCACTAGCAATATCAACGTGACGGCGGCGACGAGGATCAGTACCAATACGAGCAGAACCACACCATTGACGTTATCCCTAAAAACCGTAGCAATCAAAATGAATTTTCCTACAGACAGTTTAGGTGACTTGTCGGGCTTGGGCTTGTTGTGACCGGCACCTCGATGCAGGGTTGTGCCCCGGCTGTCTGCTGGCAAGACGGGTATGCCATTGCTAGTCTGTAAAGATTTATTTTTGGATAACTGAATTATCAACATTTCCATTCATGAACCCCGAATATCAAAGCCTTTTCCCACGGTCTTTAGAAATCGCCCCAATTACACCACCTAATCGCGTCCCTAGTATGGCGGCGTAGCCGCCCCGCCAAAAATTGCCTTTTCCCTCCAAGAGGACTGCCGGACCCCGGAAAATGGACAGCCGGGATTCGGCCGCTGCAAAACCTTGTCCACCCCTGTGCTATAGGGAATCCCTATGATCGACCTCCCAATAGAAATGCATCCTCACATTGAGTGATCTCGCGTTCAAAAACGTATAGCTGGAATGCGTCAACCTCGTTGTGTCTGGCACGGATCCTTTTTCCCTGATTTTTGCCCCGCTCTCTCGAGGGGGCTCCAAAAATTAGAGTATACTCATAATTGTTCGTATGCACCGAAATCTTTAGTAAAAGGCGAAAGATTTTCTCGGTCAAATGCACACGAACCAGAGGTATTGCTGTAGGGAAAGGCGCGCACTTGTGGGGACAGATGCGCCCAGGTGAGGGGCGAGTGGGGCGCGTGCAGAGGGCATGCAGGGCGCACGCACTGCGAACTTCGCGTAGAAAATATACACTGTTTTGAAAGTATCAAATTTATTACAATCAACAAATTCACGCGTTTTGAACGCCGCCCTATCAGAATCTCTAAATTTCAGAATCTCTAAATTTCAGAATCTCTAAATTTCAGAATCTCTAAATTTCAGAATCTCTAAATTTCAGAATCTCTAAAAATCAGAATCTCTAAAAATCAGAATCTCTAAAAATCGGAATCTTTAAGAATCGGAATCTCTAAATTTTTTTGTTTCTCGCCGCCGAGCCATACAGTTTTTGGCACAAATTGAAACTGTATGGCGCTTTTACTCAACGTCGCCTGTCAAAACTTTTTTTGGGGTAGGTTTTTGCCCTGATCACGAAAAACGTAACCACAAATCACAAAAAGTCAAAATGAATTGCTTATAGCAAAACCAAGTTTTGAAGACAACAGTTGTAACGAAGCACGGAAGGCTAAATTGCGTTATATGGTCACTAAACGGATTTTGGATTTTTATATACCAAAATGCTCAGCAGTTCGAGCTGGTTCAGGATCAGTTGAAAAAACTATTGGGAAACACTTCTGGACCGAGTTATAACACTTCAAAGTTGGCGAGTGTCGTATATGGTCACTAAACGGATTTTCAATTTTTATATGTCAAAATGCTCAACAGGTCGAGCTGATTCTAGAACAGTTGAAAAAACCTTTGGGAAATACTTCTGGAGCGAGATATACCACTACAAAGTTTGGCGTCACCCCGGCCCACTACATAACTTTGTCGCCCCGGCGAGTCAGTTTTCGGTGTTGCGAAAGATGGTTGGGTTCGAAATGGGTTTGGCATGAAACTACACACCCGATCTGAGCCTAAAAATAAGGCTTCGTGCCACCCCGGGGCCTAGTCGCTTCGGATGGGTGCGAGCTCGTACAGGGTTTCGAAATGGGGGCGCCAAGGCCGGCGAAGCGGCCGGGGGCGCCCCCATTTCGAAAGAGTGGAGCGGCAGCCCATCCGAAGCGACGGCCCACCTTGCCTGACAATGTATTTTTTTACCCATGAAACGGCAATTCTCCACCATTCCGTTTCTTTCCGATGCACAGTTGGCGTATTTTGGTGTACTACGTACTACTTCAGGGGCTGAATGGACGGTTTGTAAGCTAGATATCTCGCGACAGAGATTTTTCCCAAAATTTTTTTCAACTGTTCTAGAATCAGCTCGGCCTGCTGAGCATTTTGACATATAAAAATTGAAAATCTGTTTAGTGACCATATACGACACTCGCCAACTTTCAAGTGTTATAACTCGCTCCAGAAGTGTTTCCCAATAGTTTTTTCAACTGCTCCTGAACCAGCTCGAACTGCTGAGCATTTTGGTATATAAAAATCCAAAATCGGTTTAGTGACCATATAACGCAATTTTCCCGCACGGAAAAATGGCGCTATGGAAATGCATCTACGTTTTACGTGATTATCGCAAAAAACTACCCCAGAAAAAGTTTTCAGGGGCGTCTTGGGTAAAAGCGCATTACAGTTTCAATTTGCGCCAAACTCTGTATGGGCTCGTGTACAAAGAAATTTAGAGATTCCGAAATTTAGAGATTCCGAAATTTAGAGATTCTGATTTTTAGAGATTCTGATTTTTAGAGATTCTGAAATTTAGAGATTCTGAAATTTAGAGATTCTGAAATTTAGAGATTCCGAAATTTAGAGATTCTGAAAGTTCACCGTTTTGAACGACTTCAACCCGCTGCCAAAGCCATTTATTCGCTAGAGACGACAACGGTACATATTTGAGGTAGCGGATTTGGTTGGGCTTTAGACGAGACGAGTCGAGTGGCGGTAGACGCATGGTTGATGCTTCTAGGGGGCGTTCGACTCCTCGCCCTCGGTCATCTCCTGCTCGTCTTTCTTGGCTTTTGGCTGAAAAAGGATCGTTGAGCCGTCCTGGTCTAAGGCTTAGGCTTAGGCTTAGGCTTAGGCTTAGGTTTAGGCTTAGGCTTTCATACCTTATCCTTCCCCTTCCGCTTGCTGCTCTTCTTCCCCGGCTTATCGCTGCCCTTCTTGCTGCTTCTCTTACTACTTTTCTTGCTGCTCTTTTTGCTGCTCTTCTTGCTGCTCTTGTCGCTCTTGCTCCTCTTGCGCTTCTTCTTGCTCTTCAGCTTCCTGACCGGGGCATCAACTTCCTTCGCCGCTCCCGCGCGGCACACCAGCGCGCAGCCGATGCCGAGCGCGATGAGGCCGACGAGGAGGGCGGCGGCGCTCATCAGGACGGTGAAGCGATTGCTGGAACGGAGCTTAGGCTTGGGCTTAGGCTTGTGCTGAGGCATAGGCTTGGGCTGAGGCTTAGGCTTGGGCTCAGGCTGAGGCTCCTGCTCAGGCTTACGCTTAGGCTTAGGCTTAGGTTTAGGTTTATGCTGAGGCTAAGGCCTAGGTTGACGCTTAGGCTTTGTGGCTTCATCATCAAGCCTCGCTTGCTCAGCTTAACTCAAGAACCAACTCCGGGTGGGTAGCCTGATCGTAGTATCCCATGGGCGTCGTGGGCGGCTTTTGCTGGTCCGCGTTCTGGGTCCGGGGCGTATGGTTTCCGGACGTCTGGTTACCAGACGTGTTGTTGGCGACCGTCTGATTGGCGATTGTCGGAACAGTGCCTAGAAAATTAGCATCCAAGTTTGAAATCCAACGCTTAAATTACCATTGATGGGTGCGGCCATGGCGGTGGCGCCGAGGAGCAGTAGGAAAAGGGCCGACCGGAGCATGGCCCGCGAGTAGTTAGAAGTGTTTGTTGCATTTTTTATTTTTTTCCGCGGACGTAGTTGCAAATTTTGAGATGCCAATCGATATTGCAATATGGGATGCTAACTTCGAATGCTGTAACTAACTGTAACCCTCTTTTGGTCGAAGTGGAAATTCCGTACGTGAGATAGCACATCTTGTGCAGAATTTTTTGCTGATTCCGAATCCGTTTTCAAAAGTTGCGGAACCCCTCAGATTAAAAAGTTACAAGCGTTTTTAATACCCAAAATGCCACAAATCGCTTACTTTAAAACGTTCTAAAAATTCCGTAAGATACTTTTGGGAGGAAAGTAAGACATTCTCCGGGGTAAAAAACGTGCTCTTTCAAATGGGCTTCCTCACGAACCCGTAGCTCGAAATTTCGAAAATTTCGAAAATCGACCATCTTGGGCAGGGTCCGCCAAAAAAACTTTTTTGCCAATTTTGAGATACGGGTTCGTGAGGAAGCCCATTTGAAAGAGCACGTTTTTTACCCCGGACAATGTCTGACTTTCCTCCCAAAAGTATCTTACGGAATTTTTAGAACGTTTTAAAGTAAGCGATTTGTGGCATTTTGGGTATTAAAAACGCTTGTAACTTTTTAATCTGAGGGGTTCCGCAACTTTTGAAAACGGATTCGGAATCAGCAAAAAATAATTTCCAACGTACGTACGGAAACGTACGGAATTTCCACTTCGACCAAAAGAGGGTTACAGTAAGGGGATTGGACGAATTTTTCCCCATCTTGATACAAGCCAAGCAGTCCACCAGTTTATTTCGGAGTTTTTGCTCCAGATCGGTTTATGCAAATTGCAAAACATTCAAAAAACTTATTGTGGTTGCGTGCTTGCTGCTTGCTTGCCAACATGCTTTTGTTTTATAATTTCATGAATTTACCTCCGAGATGGCAAGCGTTAAACCTTCGGTTTTTGCTGCCTCCACTTTCATCTCTCTCTCTCTCCCTCCTCTCTCTCTCTCTCTCTCTCTCTCTCTCTCTCTCTCTCTCATTTTTTGACGCCACAGTCCAAAATGCGCGAAAATCGGCTGGCTCTTCGGGCGTTGATGGCTGGATGGTGGGTGGCCGTAGGGGTTGGCGCTGTGTGGGGTTGGTGGGTGGCAAATATTTGGTGAACGGGTGGGGGACGAAGCCTCGGCCACCGTCACACCACCCCCACCCCAACAGTCCGGGTGCCCGGTCAGGACCCGGCAAAATGGTGGAGTGTGCACAGGAGCCGAACGGGAGTCTTTTGTGGAGAGAGAGAGAGAGAGAGAGAGAGAGAGAGAGAAATAGAGAGAGAAAGAGAGAGAGAGAGAGAGAGAGAGAGAGAGAGAGAGGCCGAAGCCCAATACCAGCTAGCGAGGGGCCTGTCTTGTACGCGGTTGGGAGACTGTTTTGTGCCGACATGTCTTTTTACTCACGAGGCTTTTAGGGTAGGGTATCGATAATTATAATTACTCTGTTTTTGTATGTTTTCAGCGCTAATAATTTTGCTTTTCTAATCTTAAATAACAAATCGTAGGAAAATCGGGGATCAGGGTAAGAATCGGAATTTCTTGGAGGTCCTTTACGCGAAATTCTAGATTTCGACAATTACTGGGGCTATTAATTAGCGCAATTTTTTTTATTGGGTTGTAATTGTAATATGATAATTTTTTCGTTCTGTTAGAGAGAAAGATTCTTGAATTCGCGCTTTTACGACATTTTCTGCTTTTTGGTGCCTGAATTGCCATTTTCCAAGTTTGTTTTGTTTTATCTTTTCCATATAGCCCAAAAATGCACGTACTCCAAGTTGTTCCACCGCAATTCAACCTCACCAGACTTCCTCAAAAGCAGCTATTTTTATTTTCCAATCCCATCCCCCCGGCGCCGCCAATCTCAAACTCCGCTCTCCCCGGGAGGGAAAAAGTATCTGAACTTGGCGAGGGTCCAATTTGCGGCCGGGCCCTTGTCCTAATGCCAGAGGAAGAGAGCGAGAGAGAGAGAGAGAGAGAGAGAGAGAGAGAGAGAAACCCGAGGATTTCATTCTCGCACGTTCGATACGGAAGTTTCGACGTCGTGGTTTGGAAGACAAACGAAAAAAATGCGGGTCTGGGAGTCAAAAGTACGGCTTGCATGTTAAAATCATTTCTGGGTTTTGATCACAGATGTTGGACTTCCGGTTTTGCAG